GAACAAAAGAGATTGTCATGATGAACGTACATTGTCATGATGAGAAAGAAGCATCAGTGTAAAACTTCAATTGTCTGTTTAGATGTGCTAAATAATTGTCCCATTATTGCCACACATTTTTTATAAACTTCTAAATACTTGTCCTAGTACTCTCTCTTGAACTCACAAAAAAAATGATATCTACAACAAGAATGAGAACAAAAAGCTTTAATAATTTTTACTGAAAATACTCAAATTAACAAAAAGATAACAATTGTGTTCTATCTTTCAACGTGCTAGTCCCTCCCAGTAAAGAATCTGCACCTCCCCTGCACCAACTAATAACATTTTCAACCTAGATTAACAAATAATAGTAACAGGGGCTTTCTATTTTCACCTTGTGCACCAATAAAAAAATAACAGGTGATAAAAAAAATAACTAGTAACAGAGAAAAATAATAAGGGACAAGAGAGGTTTAAAAATAACAAGGGACATTTTTCAACCTAGTTTAAAAATATAATAGTAGCAGGGTTGCATTCAGTTTTCACCTTGTGCACCAATAAAAATAACAATAACAGGTGATAAAAAATATAACCAGGAACAGGGGAAAAATAACAGGGGACAAGAGAGGTTTAAAAAAGTTCTTGGCTAAGTAATTACTTCTGAAATAAACGTAATACTAGATTGAAAACAATAAAGTAATCACTCTTATTTTTATACTAGACATGAAAGACACCTAATCTGATACAAAAACTTTAATTTTTTTTCCCCAAAATACCCCTAAGATTAAAACTGTACCATAATTATGAATTATTAAAACACTGTAAGTTAATTGCTCATGTCTTTACAAGCGGCCTTGAAATTAAAAAAACATTGAAGCCATAAAATTTGTTAGCTGTGGTGAAGCCAGAAAAGAAAATTCCAGTATTTAATAGTATTTAAACATAAGTATACCATTAGTTTTTGGTCTGATAATATAAGCTTCAGCTAAAAAAAATAAAAAAAAATAAAAAGCATTACTCACTCTATGGGCTCGATTCTCAAACATGTACTTATCATATGCATTTAATCAAACACCATATATCCATTTTATAGAGCACAAAATATCCAATTTTTATGATTAAGGGTCGTAAGTAATTTAGACTTTTCTGTAGAATTTCCCACATTAATGTTTGTTTTTGTCTCTTTCTTCTTCTGTATCTCCTTTTTGGTTATTTTTAGTTCAACAAATTAACATTAAGATAAGATGGACAAGAGTTGGATTAAAATCAAGAATAAGGTCGATCCGAAGTTCATGAAAGGAGCAATCGATTTTGCGGAGATGGCTAAGGGATATGTTGATAGCGAAGGTCTTACACATTGTCCGTGCAATAACTGTCTGAATGTAATAAAGCAGTTACCTGATCTTGTTGGTGATCACATAATACATCATGGCTTTCAACAATCGTATGTAAAATGGATATTTCATGGGGAAAGTAGTTGGGAACATGAAACAAACGACGACCTTGACGAAACTGACAATGAATCAAATGACGGGGTCCACGATTTACTTGGTGATGCGTTTAATGTTGGATATGAAACCGAAGGAGGAGATGGAAAAAATGAGTTCGAGTCTTCTAATCGATCTAGCAATCCCAATGTAGACATGTTATTTACTGATATGGAGAAACCCTTATTTCCGGGATGTGATACTTTCTCGGTACTGGGCTTTATATTACGATTGATGCATGTGAAAGTAACCTGTAAAATGAAAAATGTGTCCATGGATATGATACTGAAGTTATTGAGTGAGGCATTCAAGGACACAATAATCCCTAAAACCCACTACGAGGCAAAAAAGTATTTGCGTACTCTTGGACTTGGATACGAATCAATCCATGCTTGCAAGCACGACTGTGTGTTGTTTTGGAAGGAAAATTCAGAATTACAATCATGTCCAGTTTGTGGCGGTAGTCGTTGGGTAGACGATCAAACGAATCAAAAGAAGATACTAGCAAAAGTCTTGCGTTACTTTCCCGTCACGAGTAGACTGAAGCGGTTATATGCATGTAGGTATACTGCAAAGGACATGCAGTGGCACGCTCACAACAAATCCAAAGAAGAAGGAGTTCTTAGGCATCCAGCAGATGGAAAAGCATGGAAGCACTTCGATAGAATCTATCCAGATTTTGCAAACGAACCTAGAAATGTACGCCTAGGGCTTGCAAGTGATGGTTTCAACCCTTTTGGGACGATGAATACTTCATATAGTATGTGGCCTGTTGTGCTTATACCGTACAATATGCCTCCGTGGAAGTCTATGAATGATGCCTCATTTATGATGTCTTTGTTGATTCCAGGCAAAGATTCACCTGGAAAGGACATTGATGTATATTTACGTCCATTGGTAGATGAGTTGAAAGTTCTATGGGAGAATGGTGTCGAAACATATGATTCTGAATCTCAATGTACATTCAACATGCATGCAGCAGTTATTTGGACGATAAATGATTTTCCTGCATATGGTTACCTGTCTGGATGGAGCACGAGTGGGTACATGGCATGCCCAATATGCAACGAAGATGCACCAAGTATTCGTTTACGAAATAAAATAGGATATGTAGGTCATAGGCGATTTCTTCCCCACGATCATCCTTGGAGGAATGCACGAGATTTTAATGGGAAAAAAGAGGACAGGCTTGCACCTAAACATATCAGCGGAGAAGATTGCTTACATCAACTAGAACACGTCCCTCAATGTCCACATGGAAAAAACCAGTCTTACACCGGCCAAAAACGTAAAAGGGGCATAAGAGAGTTAAATTGGACAAAAAAAAGCATATTCTTTGAACTACCATACTGGTGCAAGTTGTTAATGCGTCATAACATTGATGTCATGCATGTTGAAAAAAATGTTTTTGAGAACATTTTGGGAACTTTATTAAACATAGAAAAGAAGACAAAAGACACTGATAATGCTCGCCGTGATTTGCAGGATATGAAAATACGCAAGCATCTTCACTTAGTGAAGAAAAATGGTCGTTGGATTAAACCGCCAGCTCCATATGTTTTAAATCGAAAAGAGAGACACCAATTTTGCAGTACAATTAAGTCTGTTCGTTTTCCAGATGGATACACCTCAAACCTGGCTAAAAATGTTATTCTCGAGCAATGTAAGATATATGGACTTAAATCTCATGAATGTCATGTCTTACTGCAACGTGTACTCCCTATCGCTATTCGTGGGCTTTTGAATAAGCCAATACGTGATACGTTGGTAGAGTTTTCTCGGTTTTTCAAGATTATAACTTCAGTCACATTACATGTGGGAGAGTTAGAAATGCTGCAAACAGAGATAATTAAGATTCTTTGCAAGCTGGAACGCATATTTCCTCCCTCATTTTTTACAGTTATGATGCACTTATGCGTTCATCTACCTCAAGAGGCTATATTAGGAGGACCCGTACAATCAAGGTGGATGTATCCGGTTGAAAGATATCTTGGCCATTTAAAGAAATATGTTAGAAACAAAGCAAGACCTGATGGTTCAATTGGCGAAGGTTATGTTGTAGAAGAAGCTCTAACATTCTGCTCACACTATTTACAAGGTGTTGATTCAAAACTAGAGAAGCGTGGTAGAAATGATGATGAAAGAGTTAATGATGTTCGAGACTATAAATTGGATATTTTTAAATTGAATGGTCGAGGCATTGGGAAGCGACAAACTGTTAGGCTTTCGAGTACTCTACTGAAGAAAGCACAGTGGTTTATCTTAAGTAATTGTGCAGAAGCTGAACCGTACATTGAATTAGTATATTTTACATTTCATAGTGAATTCAGTTTTTTATTATCTCAAGGTATTTAAGGCTTATTTTCACCTGACAGGGAACACTTACAACACCTGAAAAGAGAACATCCAAGATCGTTAAATTTTAGCGAATTACAACAATCTTTATTTCCAAGTTGGTTTTCTTTACGGTTGATGTTACTATAACATTAAATTATATCGTTTTATCATGTAGAAGCATTCAACCAACTCATACTTTTCTCAAAATGGTGAACAGATGAGGAAAATGTATGAGCAAAATTCATCCGCAATTGACGAAGAGTTGTATGCATTATCGCGTGGCCCAGATGATCGAGTTAAAACACATGGTGGATACATAGTAAATGGAGTTAAATTTCTTGTTAAGTCACGAGATGACCATAGGAAGACTCATAATTGTGGAGTTACAGCCCTAGGAATTCACGATGGCGTTGAAGAGGATTATTATGGATATGTTGATGAAGTCCTTAAATTTTCATTCATAAAAGGATATCGAGTTATTTTATTTAAATGCATTTGGTTCGATACTGATCGTAGAAAGAAGCACGTGATGTTTGAGCCTCATTTCATCTCTGTAGATACAACCAAACAAGCTTATAAGGAAGATCCGTTTGTCTTGGCAAATCAAGCAAAACAAGTGTTTTATATAAATGATCCAACACGTGCCTCGAGCTGGAAAATCATAGAAAGGAGCACACATAGGCATTTATGGGACATACCAGAGAATGAGGATACACAAGATTTATTTGAACATGTAGTAACACCGTCACACACAACCCCATTTGAAGCATCTGATTGTGAAAATTTCGAGTTTCATCGAGAAGACGGTGAAGAAGAGTTTGTGGAAGTCGTTGATGATGAAAGTTTTGAAGTTGATTTAGATGATTTTATCGATTATGATACTATCCCCAATGAAGTTATTGAGGAATTACCCGATGAATCAAACGAAGATTTAGATGATAGCAATGAAACAAATTTGGCAGTATATGAAGAGTCGGACGATGAATATGAATAAGTGTATTTTTTGTGTTTCTTTGTTGGTGTCTTTAATTTAGTATTTAAGACTTTTTGACAACGAATATGAATAAATGTATTCTTTTTGTATGTTGTTGGTGTGTTTTGTAATTTGTTAATTATTTAGAACTTTTTTGACAATGAATATGAATAATTTTACTCATGACTAACTTGTGTAAAAACCAAATTTTTGCAGGTAAAATGTGGATATTTCTTGTGTTGATGACGATTGCTAATCTCGGAGGTACGAAGCGTGTAAGGAAAGAACCTCGACAAATTTCGGTTGTGTCAACTGGTGAAGAAAGTGGAAGTGAATTGGATCCAAAGTTGTGCATGCTTCGTACATGTAAACGTGTTATGACATCCGTTGCATCAATAGGTATAACCTTACATGTTAATTTCTGATTACATTTAATTGATACATCCATAATCTGTTAAAGTTGAATTTGGTGACCAAAAGTTAAAGGGTTATAATGAGTGTAGGGGTTGTTTGGTAAATGTTAGTGTATGGGGCTGTTTGGTAAATGTTAGTGTATGGGGCAGTTTGGTAATGAGTTCAGGGGATGTTTGTTAATGAGTGTAAGAGTTGTTTGGTAATTGTTAATGAAGGGGTTGTTTGGTAATTTTTAGTGCAAGGTTTGTATTTTTTTACTCTCGTAACAGACATAATCGGTCATAACTAATGATTGAATCTTTGTAGGAGCAACTGTTGCGAGAGAAAATACTCAATCAACTTCATTTCAGCCTGCCCAAGAAGAAAGTGTCTCTAGAACAACTTCTAAAACAACTGAACGTCCTCTTTCTCAAAATATGGATTCTTTTCCAAACTCAGGTGATACAGGTAACTACATTTGTGTTTAATATTTTGAGTAATAGTAAATTATATAAATATTGGTACTTGTCTTATATAAGATTATAGTAATGGGCCATTGTGTAATAGTAAATTAAAAACCGTTCTTTTTGTAATAGTATATAAATTACATAAATTATATCCTACATAATAGTAAATTACTTCAATTGTACTTGTATTATTAATGTGAAAATAGCAACAAGACAAAGTGGTTCCGCCGAAGATACTCAACGATCTTCAATACCGTTAGTTGGTGAAGGAAATGTCTCTAACACGACTGATAACATGGAATCCCAAACTGAGCACTCTCATGCTCCAAGTAAGTAGTACGAATTTTATTATTTTATTTATAACATTACCAATTAAGAACAATATATATTGTGCAGATCAACGATGAAGGAGAGGCCCTAATATTAATAAAAAAGGCTTCGCATATTTTGGACAAGATTGTGGAGAATCAACCAGATGCACGGATTACATTGAGAAAAGATACATATACTAAGAAATTTGTTGGGGATTCAGCAGTATATTTTGCAACGGAGGATGGAATTGTGATGCGAAAGTTTTGTGCAATGGAATTCCATACATGGGAGAAAGTACCGAAAGAAAATAAAGAAGAAATGATCGATAGATTACGTGTAAGTTATACTAGAACCGGACTGAAATTTCTTTTTTAGCACTTTTTTAATTCACTCATTTTTAAAATATGCATAAGGCAGTCATATGAAGTCGGTATGACTTGATTCTTTTTCAACACGTAATTTATTGTTTTTAGTTCATTTTAGACTGCACAAAGTTATATTTTGGTTAAATACTGAATCATTTACAGGTCCGGCAAGACAGCATATCTATGTTGTGTTTTTCTTTTGTTTTTTTTTAAAATGTTTCGCTTCATATAATAAAGCAAATCCGGTTCCAGTTCCGAACCGGTCAGGTTATAAATCTCATCCCTAAAAGGTTAAAATATGTACTAAATGTAGGCAAAATTTGAAATACCGCACGCAAATATAGTTTTGATGGAATGTGTAGATGAGCAAATGCGAAGGCAATGGAAACGCACACGAAATACTTTGAAAGATTTTTGGAAGAAAAATGGAGGAATGAGCGATCCACAATTAGCACGATCTAAAATGAAGCCAGATTGTCGTAGCAAAGAAGATTGGTCTCATTTGTGTGATTATTAGGAGACAGATAAAGCACAGGTAACTTTTTCACTCTTTACATATACACATCTTTTACGTAATTATTTATTATTTATATGTTAGTAACTATGTTCAATTTAAATTTTGTAGAAGTATGTTGATCAAATGAAAAATAATCGAGAAAAACTAGTGATTTCAAGTAGAGGAGGTTCTCGATCAATAGCAAATCACAAATTTAGCATGGTAACTAGCGATTTAGTTTATATTTGTATTAACATATTCATTGAACACCAATTATAAATAATTGTTCTTATATAATTTTTATTATTGCAGAAAAACAAAGAGACTCAATTGCCCCCCACCCCAATCAAATTATATCATAAGTTGCATTTTCATCCTACAAAGGAATGGCTAAATGATGAGACACGCATTCAATATGTAAGAATGATTTATCGAGTAATATTAATTTCCGTTTGTAATTATTGATATTGGTGTTATATATAAGTTATTATAATATGTTTTTATGTTGTTTTAGGAAAATATTCTCCAAATGAAAGAGGATGAATGTACCAAATTAGTTTCTGCGGGAGTAAGCATTACTCCATAAATGGAATATGAAATAGAGAAAAAAGTCGTTAAAACCATTTGTGCAAAACATAAAACATTACTATCTGGATGGGAGGCTTCAAGTGGACCTATTATGAGGAAAAAAGATCTACATATCTTATCAGCAGCGGAACCGTCTCAATCAGCCTCAACGGATGAAATGGCTTTGAAAAATAAAGTTACTGCACTCGAGGAAGAGATTCGAGAAAACAAAGAAAAAGTGAAACAAAGTGAGGAGAAATGTGAAAAGATGCTTCAATTTATGATCTCGAAGTTCCCAGATTCTCAAAACATATTATGCCCGCCTGATAAAGAAGGATTTCGTGCATATGATGACATGACAAACACATCTGATGAAGAGTAATAGTCATGACCTTAAGTTAAAAGTTAGAACTTTTTTCAGATATGGTTTTACTATTTAGACACTGCTTAGATTTTTTCTGTTTATTGTTTTAATTTGGAAATGATGTCTAGATTACAATACATTTTCTATTTCAGTATATTTAGTCTATAACTCTAGCACTTACAACTAGTTATTAATACTAAAATGATATTGCATATGAGTTTGATATCCTGTCACTAAAAAAGGTTAGGGACTAAATGATATTTCATTTTAGACTGATATTCAGTCACTGAAAAAGCATGTTAGGGACTGAATGACATTGTATCAGAAACTAATATTCAGTTATTGAAAATTCATGTTAGGGACTGAATAGCATTGAATCTTAGACTGATATACAGTCACTAAAAAACCATGTTAGGGACTAAATGACATTGTATCCTAGACTAATATTCAGTCACTGAAAAACCAAGTTAGAGACTGAATGTCATTGTATCCGAAACTGATATGTAGTCCCTAAGAAACCTGTTTAGAGACTGATTGACATTGTATCTGAGACTGGTATTCAGTCCTTGAAATATTAGGTTAGTGACTGAATAAAATTGTATTTAAGACTGATATTCAGTCATTGAAAAATCATGTTACAGACTAAAGGACATTGTATTTGAGACTGATGTCCAGTCCCTAAAAATCTGATTAGAGACTCATGACATTGTATCCGAGACTGGTATTCAGTCCTTGAAATATCAGGTTAGGGATTGAATAAAATTGTATTTGAGACTGATATTCAGTCATTGAAAAACAATATTAGAGACTAAGCTAGGTAGTTTAGAAGACTGATATTCAGTCCCAAATGATATCAAAAGGGTCTGATAGGACACAAAATAAAGATTTCAATGAAAATATTACATACTGAATAATATATTATAAAGGGCTAATATTCGGTCTCTAAAAGATAGTATCAGGGACTGATATGATATTAAATTGGGGATTTGAATAAAACAAATTAGAGACTGAATGAGATATTATCTAACACTGATTTTCAGTCTTTGATACATTGATGAATTAGGGACTAATTTTCAGTCCCAGATACAAAAAAAAATCGATTATCTAAGACTAGGTCTCGGGGACTAGCTGGGGACTAGCAAAATCAGTCCCTGATTCTCATCAGAGACTGATTATTGACCATCAGAGACTGATTATATCAGTCTTTGATACCTTTTTTTCTTGTAGTGACAATGGAAAATCTAACCAACATACTCCAATTTAACCATTCTATCCTCCTGTCAGGAGTCCATACTAGCATGAAATTCTAAGGCTCATACAATCAGGCATAACCTAAACATGCCATCATATCACTGACTAATCAGTACTAGCATGCAGTTCAGTAAGCACATACAATAGGCACATAAGACATCCTTCCTATATCCTTAGCCCTAATCTAGCATGTGAATCACATAATCATATCATATCACGTAACAAACATGTATTGGTATTTTGGGAACCACTTACTTGAACTCGGTCAATTGCACGCATAACAACCCTTTCTTTACTTAGAAATTCTTTTTATAAAAATTATTCTCATTTAAAAATTTTCATACCAAGTCCTCAGTTTGAGTTCATGCACACCCGAGAGTATACCCGAATCCCTCAAAATAAGAATCTGATACCAACTTGTAACATCCCAAAATTCATGACCAAAAATACCATTTAATATAACTAAAACACATTAGTAACTTGTTTTACACATTGAAAAGCAGTTCAAATAATACATTTATCAGAGTTCATTCCCAGAATTCACATAGTGCGGAAAACATAGGTGTGTGCGGTGCGATCGTCCCGAGCTCCGTTATTTGAAAATTGCAAGTACCGGAAACAAAAACTGAAAACCATAAGCACGAAGCTTAGTGAGTTCCCCAATACCACAAACCATACATATCAACATACTGCCTAATATATCTGGGTGCTGGCCTACCCCTTCGGTCTCTTTCAACCAGATATTGTCTAGCACATAAATCACATACTGTCATACATAACCATGAGCCATACATATCATTAATATACCATAATCAAATAAAATGATATGTGCCAAAACATAGTCTTGCCATTATGCCATAGGCTGCCACGTGGTCTTTCTTGCCAAGTCGGGGGCCACCCGCTGGGTCTTACAGACAAGTGTCAAGAGCCACCTCCTGGTCTTCCATCTAAGCATCACAAAGACAACTAGCATACATATTACTCTACTTAGCCAATTAGCATATAGCGTACCAGGAGCCACATCCTTCCACAACCCATCGAATGATCCTCGTGGAGCTTAATTTAAGCTCTTCTTGGAGAATCAAGTGAAGAGAAATTTCAATGGGCAGTCAAGGTTCATTGTTTTCGGTCAAAGTACGGGTCAACGGACACGATTACGGTCAAAGATATTTGACTCTGATGGACTTGGTCCGATTTCGGTCGGATCCGGGTTTTCGGCTGGATCCGGGTCATCGAAAACCTAAAACCCTAGAACCCTAAACCCCAATGTTGTTTTAGGATAAGGCTTCTATCAATGAAGAAGGAGCAGATGGCGCAGACACTGTAGAGTCAACAGTCAAGGGGAAGAAGATTATAGTGTCAGAGCAAACCATTCGTGAAGTTCTTAGATTTATAAAAAAAACAAAAAAAAAAACATAAATACAAAATACAAAAAAGGAGAAATCAAAATACAAAAAAAATTATAAAAATCAAAAATACAAAAAATATGTTTTCTTTCGTAAGTATTTTTGGGAAGTGATATGAAATGTAGTGCTAAAGGGCAATATGAGATGCGTGTAATGCACTGAAGCCAAATTGTTTAGACTTTGTGTTCAATGTGCTGGTAGGCACGAAGGATTCAAAAGGACTAGACATAGCTGAAAATGAAAGGACTTGACAATGTTAACTCATCTGGACTTAGATAGTTACATTTGGACTGACCATACGACGCTTGGATAGATTGAGCAGTGAGATAAACAAGGGAGTCTACAAGATACATTAAAGTTACTTATCATCTAGAACTGTGGCTCAACACTTCTTCGATGTACGGACTTATGTCCTTAATTCTGGTGCTGATAGGGTGTTCTGATAAAGTATGTCGATGTGAAATTGATTTTCTTTCTTATCCTCTATGTCAGTCATATGTTGCCCCCTTTGCGTGATCGGAAGATCCGACCTGGGACGCAACATATGCATCTCTATTTCTACACATCTCTATCTATGCTTCTCTCTATCTATCTATGTCAGTCATATGTTGTCCCCTTTCCGTGATTGGAAGATCCGACCTGGGACACAACATATGCACCTTTCTATCTCTCTAACCCTCTATCTATGTTAGTCATATGTTTTTCCCTCTGCGTGATTGGAAGATATCTGACTTGGGATACAACATATGCATCTCTATATCCATCTTCTCTCTTAGATAATTGAACACTCACCTAAAGTAAAGAGCTCTTTGGAATTCCTTGATTACTAGGGTATGTCGTGAACTGGGGAACACGTTCTAGTGCACATAAAATTGAATTAACTAAAGATTGTCTGTAGATCTCGTTGCTGAATTTAACTGGAAAACAATATCATTGGTCGTCGTCAGCAAAATGGTCTATTTAGGAATATAGGTGCAATGTCTTGTCACTTATAATCTGTCCAATTTGTCAATATTATTTGTGTTTAAATGGACCACAATATTGGTGATTGACCGGAGCTAAACGTGCAGGTGTGTGCTGATAAACGATATTGAATTGCTTGACAACTTTGATCCCAAAAAGTTTTAAATTTAGTTATTATTTTTTGTTTTTGTTAAATTTGTTCATATTTTTCCTCTATGCACAAATTTAGGGGGAGAATTAAAAAAATCAAAAAAATCATAAAATTTAAAAATACAAAAAAAAAGTTTATTTCTGTTTTATTTCCTTTTCAGAAAATTAAACATCCAAAAATATTTTATTTTTATTTTGAGTGTATTTTTAATTTTATTTTTACTTCTTAGTCATTTCTATTGTGTACTAAGTTTATTTTTACTTTTATTTTTTATCTCAAAGTTTCGTTTGTCTTAAAAAGCGAATTAAAAAAGAAGAAGAGACTCAAGGAGACCGTATCAGAATTTTCTGAGCAAGGAGACGAAACTTGGAAAGGAGTTGATGGTTATTACTCTTCACACTATTTTCACAAGGAATTGAAGGATTGAAACTGTAAAAATTGTCAGTTAGGCAGTACCTTTCAAAGAACTGTCGTATTTAAGGAATTTAAAATTTTAAACTGTATAGATGTCATGGCACAAAGGCAATGCACCTCGCAAAGCACGATTATCGTTGAACGTCTCACCAAGGGCCAAGTTAACTTGTTAACTTGAAAAACTGTATTGAGATCTTTGATATAGGATATACAGGGGCTAACATCAAAAAGGCCATGTGTAGTTCTCCGATACTCATCAAATCGCAGTGCGTTCCTCCGTGTTCATACAAATATTGTGAGTAGTCTCCTTCTGAGCCAAGGTTGGGTCCTTGAACACTTGTGGTGAGAAGGGTATTTATGATTTTGTGATCCACAAGGACTTTTTAGTCATGATTACTTTTCGAGGCGCAACGGTGATTGTTAAAGAATACTCACTCGAAGGAACAAGAAGTGAAGATTATCTTTCAACACACAATTTTTCAACCCCAGAAGCAATGTGAAGTTGTACTTGAAGTTCTGTGAAAAATTGCATTGAAGCCTCCTCAATCAATTTGCTGCTATCTATGAACTTGTTGAAGTGATCCAGAAGAATCGGTATCTCTGTTATTTTCTCTAAAGTTTCTCAAAGCTGAAAGTGCTGATTTTCAAGAATCTTTACAAGAAGCCCCTACACCCAATGTGCGTTCAAGTTCAAATCTTTGAAGGAAGTCCAATTATTCAAGATGAAGTTATTCATGCAGAATTTCATATGTCCATCTTGAAGTTGTGAAGAAATCGAAGATAAAAGCTTAAGCCAAGACCAAAGCGAAGATTGAAAAGAAAAGAAAGCAACA